CCAGGTATGTGAAATATACAGTGAAATATGTAAGGCAAAATAAGTTCCTATTTTTGCTGTTAGTATTTATTTTAGGGTTAATAAATTTGTAAACAAGCAAATTTCATGAGTGAGAATTTAAATCTGTTTTTACTGTTGATAAAAAAAAAAAGAATTATCAAAAGAGACTTACAGTACAACCAAAAACTTACAAGTTGATTGTGATAAGAATGTAGATTATAAAATTATGTTCTTTCAGAATAAACATTAAAAAAAAAACTTATTGTTTTGATTTCCACCTTCTTTTCATTCAGCACCTTGTTATTTATTATTTTGTTAGATATAGTGAAGAAATAACACTTTTTTTGATATATTCCAAGAGAAATAATTGTTCTATTTAAAATGTACACGCCCACACTGTCTGAGTGCTACACTCATTCTGCCCCAAGGCTGGGGTGGTATGGTTATATTAAAGTGGGGCTGTTTCTTGTTCCTTTACAAAAATTAGCCTTATTTTTTGGGTCAGAATAATTAACGATATTATTTTTAAGAATTAGTAGAATATATAAATCGTTTCTAAATAATAGATTTGTTCATTTCTATTTAATTTTCAATTTTACATAAGTTTCAAAAAATCTTAGCCCATTCCACCGCGGTCTCCCCTACGCCAAATAATGTGATTAATCAACAATTTAAACATTCTTTACTGCTGGTATACACGAGAAATGTCATACACGATTTCAACAGCAACTTGTAATTACAGTAAAATTCGAGAAATCAGCAGTTTCAACCATCAGTTACAGTGAAATTATTGCACCCCGACTATGCTTGTTTCCGATGAGGGTAATTAGGTTAAGCTCTGATTAGTCGTTTGGATCCCCAACTTGACGCGTCCTCCTTAAATGCCAGAGTATAAGAACTCTTTGCACAAAATAGGATTTGCCTTTATCTTTGATTAAGTACTCCAAAGTCACTGTAGAGATTAAAGAGTTAGCTCTGTTGCGCCTTTTAAGTGGATGTAAGGCTTAATTGTGTGATTAAGCTACGTGTTAGAATCGTGCATTTCAAGTAAATGTAAAACTTGGTTCAGAGACTAAGCTAATTGAAAAATGCTTGAGTTAACCAGACTATTATAGGCTCACCTAAAAAGTGAATCAAGGAGAAACATGAAAGAAGAAACGTTGACTTGAGTTCCAACGTTAATTACAGCAGTCTAATTATAACTATTGTCATCGCCACGAGTACTCTCGTGTAGAATTAGGATTATCGTTGCAGTTGACCTCATAAGATCTTGCGACTACATGCGCACAAGCAGCGGCTTATCAATGATTATTAAAGTAAGTTTAGTTAAGAAAAACTATAAATTGTGTAAACATTGTAGAAGCGAATTTAAAACTTTTTTATTTATACTATTTTTAAGATCAACTATTTCCAGCTTCTTTAGATTTATTAAATCATCAGATAAAATTTGACTTGGATGTCGATAAAATTACTTTTTTAAATTAAACATATTTCAATATCCTAATTATATAAAATACTAGCAGCCCCCCGTCTCGGCTTCGCCCGAGACTTACTTAATAAAACACCGTAGTGTATTGACATATAATGTAAAACGTTTTCAGTTAGAAATTTTACACATATTCCTGATACATCTCAGAACAAAAATCTTCTTTTTAAAAACAAATTTTTTCGGAATCCGTATAGTTTATTGTTCAAATAATAAAGTGTAAGAATTCAAAAAAAAAATTATGCTGAAAAGTACCGTGCGTTCTTTAAACCATTGAATAATCAATGGCCATAAGAAGCCTTTGATTTACAGTTTCTCCCGTGTAATTCACGAAAAGAGCTATTTTTTAAAGCTGTTAAGATTTAAAACTCCCAAAAAAATTATATTACAAAAAAATATTTTTTCTTATATCTCACAACTTTATTACCAGAGCAACAAAGTCCTGGACCTTAAACCCTGCATTTTTATTGCCACAAAAACACAAATACATTTTCTACTTCTTTAAAAAATCTGAAGTAGGATCTTTACAGATTTCAGAGATTGCTGTAAGGGTACAATAAAAAGCTGATCTCTCACGTAATGGATTCTTTATTTGTCGATTTTAACGCTGCTGTTCCAATCTTGATAAATTTTCTGCGTCAGTTTCTTCACGCCTAAGTACAATTGTATTTATTAGATACAATTAAAGCTTTTCTTCCAATTAACCCTCTTGCGACTTTTGACATGCTTAAAATTATTGTGACCCCTAAAGGCTGTTTTGTGTCAACTTTGTTAAGTTCTAATATATTTGTTGGCAAGGTAGTTCGACGTCCGATGGCCCTAAAAAAGACCAGTGAGCTTCTTAAGTTAACTTTTTCTTGACTGCAGTTAACAGCAGTTGTGACTGCCTAGATACCTCAGGGTGATCTTTTCTAGCTTGCTGTTGAAGACCCAGACTGATCGGGAAAAAAATTACAAAGTCCGAAGCTTTGGAGCTAGTTGTAAAGATCTTTCCCAACGTCTCCTGGTATAACGTCAAAGACGTTCGTGTCTAAAGCACCCTTTTTATTTGCAGATTCAGTTGTTTTGGTGATCTTAGATGGGGAGATTTGTTAATGATAATTGTCCAGTGGAGGCTGTTCCGTTGGCTCAAGTTTATTTTCCTTCTTCAGTTTTGCCCAGCGCAGACCTTGCAAAGGATCAGTGATTCCTGGGCGAATGCTGAAAGTCAAGAGGGTAATATAGGGTCGTTGGTCACCGGGTTTTCCAGCCTTGCAAAAAACAACTCCGCAGTTGACGTCTGCCAGTGAATAACTGACATTGTTAAATAGTGGCTGTCTTAAGTTACCTTAGTCTTTTAGTTGATAAATTGCTTCCGAAAATGGTAATAAAAATGTATTTGTTGGCAAGATAGTTTACACTTAGGTGGCCCCTAAAAAGCGCCAGTGGTAAAACTTCCAGGCTATTCTTCATCATTCTTCCTGATGATAAAGAGCTGGCTACGGGTAGCTTGATTCTTACCCTGGGAGTCTCGATGTACGGAGACTGTGATGGAGGGAGGTACGCTGCTGACCAAAGAATATCACGTCTTCAGGTCATTTCCCGGATAACCAACCGCTCATCGTTAGACGGGAACATGTGGGTAAGCGCGTTGGGGACGCGATGACTAAGAAGGTAGCCGTTGTGGCTGCCCGTGCCCGTCAGAGCTATTCTTCCTGGCTTACATTTGTAGCCAAAAGTTCTCTAATTGCACCAGGTGGGATGGTAGGACTGCCACACAACTCTGAAGAGTTGGTGCAGATTGTGCTCTGGCTAGATATGTCTTCTGGTATTATGCCAGAAATGTCATCGGTTGGAATGAATTTTTTTTGATCGCACTCGTCGAGATTCAGGGTAAACGGAGACTTATACCCCTTCCCCCTTACAGAAGAGTGTCGTCCATAACCAGGATATTCAGCTGCAAGACTATCAGCACTCTCTATGCAGCTCATTGAACTGCCGAAGCACCACTGCATCATCATCGAGACGCTCCAGCGTATTAAAACCACACTTATTTAATTCTGTTGCAGGTAGCCTCGATTTTATGTCAACGCCACCTAGCGGATTTTACTGAACTAAAGTGAAAAGCTGGCGTATTTTTACAAAACTTTGAGCTCACTTATTGCTATTATTATTACATTTTTTAAGATGAAAACTATACTAAAACCATCTAGGAAGTATCATGAATCAGTGTGCAAAATTTCAGCAAAATCGGTTCAGTAGTTCTTGTGGTTAGCGATTACAACGGCTTTAGCAACTTTGCTTTATATATATGTAAGATTTTAAGATTTATGATTTTAGTTAATTGACACATACTTCTTACCTTGATATATAAGTTGAATATCGAGGAAAAATCAAGTAAACAACATATAACAAATACCTACACAAGAACGTGAGATAAAAAGACGAATAAGATACACTACTATTGTCTAATACAAGACATAAACTCAAACAGTAGATCAACGCCAAATTGGCGTATATCACTCCATACATATCGCTCAATGAAACCTAACACCACAACGCCAGATCAATGATTTAAGAAAAATTATCCTGTGAGTAAAAGCTAATGAGGCCTTCGGGCTGACGGCTGGTTCCTGACAAACAAAAGTTAAATTTATTTGTTTGTATAATGAATCTATAAGTTCCGCCCTCTACTTATAGAAGTTCGGACGTAACAACGATATGATAATTTATGAAAAATTGTTGAGTTATTCTATCCCTATATTGTAATGGACTACAGTTTTTCTTATCTAATCTGTAAGAGAGACTGTGTCCACGGCATTAAAACATAATCATTTTGACATTTTTTGTTAAGTAGCGTTTAATATTACTAGTTCTCTAGTTAAAATCCTCTTGTAAAAAAAGTAATTATTTTATTATCCTATAAATAAGGTAATTGAGTTTGCTGAAAAATATTGCCTGAGGACAGTTATCTTGAAATTTCTTATGGTATATATGTTGGGACTTGATGAGCGTGTCCCGAAGCTCGAGGAAGTTGGAGGCAAGAGTAGGCGCTCAAAGAAGCTCACTTGAGAGTACACTGGAAACAGTGCTTTATTAGCGTACAAAAGTTCAGAAAAGAATATAAGTTGGCGAAGTGCCGTGAGCTGTGACAGCAGCGGTGGCTGCGAGCATGAGCGTGTGCGTATGCGGCTCATGCGAGGGTTGAGCTCGGACTGACTGGACTGGAGGCACGCCACACTAGGTAGCTGCTCGGTCGCTCGAAAAAGTGGCGGCAGCGCCACTTCACGTGGACAGTCCGAAGACCTCGCGTGGCTTGAGCTGCTGCTTGCGTCGAATGCCCGTGTGTGCCTTGACTATAGTCGGAGCTGCCACAACTCAACACCACTCCCTCCCCAGAGAGGTCCGTGGGTAACGGGCTGAACGATACCCGCTTCTTTTGAGAAACGTCTTTGGGGGCTGTCCCAGGACTCCCTGTGGGAGGCCTTGGTGACGGCGCGAAGTCCGCAGGTAGTGCGTGGGAAGGTTTGGTCGGCTAGGCCCCTAAGAGAGAAGTGTCTGTGGCCTCGACGTAGGCCTGCTTCAGGGCGTCCATGGAGACCGTGCGATGAGAGCCATTGATATTGATGACGTAGGTCTTGTCATCGACCTGGCGAATGACCCGGTGAGGGCCCGTGTACGGAAGCAAGAGGGGCTTGTAGATGGCGTTGACCCTCTTAAAAACGTGAGAGCACGTCCACAAGTCCTTGAAAAAGAATGGGGCGTTCTCCGCTGTGTGTCTCGAGGCCGGTGCAGACTTGATGGTCTGGGCGAGTCGGCGGAGGCCTTCTACGAAGGTGACAAGGCTCGCGAAGGGCTGGCTCTTCGTAGCGAAGAATATCCCGGGCACTCTGAGCGTAGTGCCGTACAGCATCTCAGCCGGAGAGGCTTGCAAGTCCTCCTTGTAGGCGGTTCGGAGCCCCAGAAGGACCAATGGTAGTTGGTCAGGACATGAGGTCTCGGGGTTGCACATGAGGGCGGCCTTGAGGGTGCGGTGGTTCCATTCCACCATGCCGTTGGACTGCGGGTGGTATGGTGTGGTGTGCACCCTTTTGGTGCCGAGGAGCTATGTAAGCTCCGAGAATAGGGTGGACTCGAACTGGGCGCCCTGGTCCGTCGTTATCGTGAGTGGTGTGCCGTAGAGGCTAACCCACCTGTCGACGAGAGCCTTGGCGATGGTTGATATCTGTTGATTAGGCAGGGGGTCGTCTTCTGGCCACCGGGTGAAACAGTTGATGATTGTCAGGCAGTAGGTATAACCCTGGTAGAACCCTGGCACGGAGGCAGCTTGATGATGTCGATGTGGAGATGCCGGAAGCGCTCCTCGGGGACCTCAAAGGAGCCTAGGGTGGACCTGTTGTGCCAGTGAGAAGCTCGAATGCTGTGCGTCGAAGAGCCCGCGAGAGATAAGGCCGTACGACTCCCATGGACGTATCGCAGAGAACGGAGCAATCGTCGATTGGGAGGGCCTGCTGGATCAGGCTCGAGGAAGCAGTGACATGTTGGGTTTCCTCGGCATATGCTTCGGCGATGACCTTCGCGCTGAGTTGGGCAGGCATGGAGATGGTGGCGACGCGTGAGAAGGCCTGTACTAGACTCGTGTTGAACTGGAGTATGAAATCTAGCTGACGGGCTTGCCTGGGCGAGGCCTTGTTCGGAACCTGGTGGATCGGGCTTGCCCATTGGCTGGAAAAGGGCCGAATGATGCCCTGGGCCATGAGACGGCTGAACTCATCCTTGGCGGCGTCGAGACGAGGGCCGATGAGTCTCCGAGGGTTCTCAAAGACCGGGGGGTCGGTCGTGTGGATGCGGTGAAGCACTGAGAGATCGGGCAGGTCTGCTGCCGATCTGTCAATCAGTGTCAGATCGTTGAACTCCCGCAGGAGGTCTTGGTAGCGTTGACAAAAGTGTTCTGCCAGAATCACGACTTGCTGGACGAGCAAGACGCTGTAGCCGGTCATGAGGGCCACGAAGCCTTTGGTCGAAAGCCCGGTCGTGGCGTCAAGGAGCTGCTTGCCTTTGAGGTCGATAAGCAAGCTGAAGTGAGTCAGGAAGTCTGCTTTTAGAATGGCCGTCTGAACGTCGGCAACGATGAAGGACCAGACGAAGGCTCGATGCAGGCCAAGGTTGACCTCAGCACGGTATGTGCCATACGTGGAGATCGCCGAAGCGTTAGCAACGGTGGGCGTGAGAGAGTCGCGAGCTAGTGGCTTCTAAAACAGGGAAGCTGGAAGCAGAGAAACAACTGACCCAGAGTCAACGAGAAACCTTATCGTCGAGGTTTTGTCGGACATATGGAGGCGATTTTATGCAGGTGGAGTAGTGCCGACTTCCACTGCCTGATACGAAGGCGGCACTACTCGTTTCCCTGCATCGACGGGGTGAAGTTGCAGGGTGGTCTGCAGTTGCGAGCGTTATTCCCTAGGGTGCGATGGTACCAGCACCACGCGTCGTTGGGATCTCGGTGTGGCGTGGCTGACCTGTTTTGGGGGCCGCCTTGCGACCGCGTGGTTGAACGGCCACGTTGCTGGCCTTCCGTTTGTCGCTTTGCGATGTTGAGGAGCTGGGCAATGGACTGACGCAGCGATACCATCTCCTTGGCCAGGGACTCCACGGTCGGCGTAGAAGACTGACCAGCCATCTGGGGCTTGGTCGCTTGAAGGTGAACCGCGATGACATGCGGGTAGTCCTGGATCAGCTCGTCGGCCAGAGACGCCAGCTCATCCAGTGGGGTTGATTTGACGACCTGGAGGGAGCGTGCCACTGTCAGTGGCGAAAGGTCAAACCACTGGACCCTACTGGCTTCGTCAGAGACCGCGGAGCCCGCGAGAGCTTTTATGAGGCGCAGGAGCTGTGACGGCTTCTGGTCGCCTAGTTCGAGCTGCGTAAGCAGCTTGTGGAGGCGCTGATCGGCCGTGTCTGTCATGCGCTTAAGAATTTCGGCCTTAAGGAAATCGTACTTGCCGTCGGCTGGGGGTGCCATGAGGACGTTGGAGATTCCTGCACCGTGGCTTTATCCAAGGCGGCGACGACGTAGTCGAATTTGCTGGAGTCCGCGCAGATCCTGTGGTTGTTGAAGGCCACCTCAATCTGGATAAACCACACGCTTGGGTTGGCCTTCCAGAAAAACGGGAGGTGCAGAGGTGGAACCGACATCACGGGGTTAGTGTCGTCACCCGCGGGGCTTGCGTCTCTAGCAGGATTGCCGCTGGGGAGAACTACACCGCTGTCGTTGTTGGCCATGGCATGTGCCAACGGCGAGACGAGTGTAAAAAAAAAAAAAACTGCACTGCATAACACTGTCACACAGCCTCTCACTTTCTGTTTTTGTCCTTGTCTTTTTCAAACGGTCCACGAGAGCGAGAGAGAGAGAGAGAGAGTGCGGAAACGTTGGCGCGTGGCTCGTAGCGTCGCACGAGTCGACAAGACATTAAAAAGTGAGATGTTGAAGGCAGACCGGGAATGAAGATAGAAAATGTGGAAATTTAGTGAGATAATAACAATAGAGAAAACAGCGTTACACACGTCAGCTGACGAAAACAAAAACACCCATGATGGGGTGAGCATAGTCCAGTCGGAGAAAAGTGCACTATAAAAAATGCTGTAGTAAAATCACTAGCGGATAGTAATCTTTTTTACTATCCTAAGCACAATGATTATGATATCTGATGGCGAGAACTATGTCTTGAGCATCATAATTTCACTAGCAATGTATTGATATTACTATCTGCTATTTAAATTAATATGCTCAGCATAGGTAACAGTGAGACCTATGCTCAGCATATCAATTTTACTAGCTGCATGATAAATACAATCGGCTATTAAAATTACGAGACGACGGAGATTATACGTTCTGATAGTGAAAATACGTTGAACATTCCTCGAAAAAATACAAGATAATAGTAATATTGCGCTCTGATGGTAAAAGTACATTGATCTAAATAAGATAGTAAAAGTAAAAGCTAGCATTAAAGTTAAATGCAGCTATGGCTCTTGATGGGGGTAAGGGAATCTCGCATTGACTACATTAATGCATATGTATATTTTGTGCTAAGTGCCCATAGTAGCGCTCTTATCAAAGGAGCTGGAAGTAGATCACTATAATATAAAAAAAAAAAAAAAAAAAACATGTATATTTCTACTTAATTTACGGTTCGTGCTTTGCGCTCTTGCACTATAATCAATAATTGTGATAAGGATTAAAAGTAAATTTATCATTAGTGCTCTTACAAATTCTTAATCAGTAAGTATTAGGTATATATAGCGAAAGCATTCTGAAAAGTAAACACTTTTCAGGTTATGTATCGTTTCATAACGTCGTTGGTATACACCTTAGTGGACCAATAGCTAAATATTTCAGATCTCTACAAATCATCACGTTTCTCAACTGTGTGTGAAGATGTGTATGTAGTGTGAAAAAATGATAAAATAACCCTTTTAGTGAAAATGGAAATATGAACAGTACGATAGTGCTTCTCATATCCAAGATATGACTTTTACTTTTGGGATAGTAAAATTACCACGCGATTTTACTGCAGCATTTTTTACAGTGTGAGAACGTGGTACGAGACGAACGCAATGATCACTCAGAAGTCGAACCCCCAGATAAATGGCTAGATTATTTAAAAGACAAAACGCACAGGGAAGCTTGTGAATGCACACAACCTGATAGTGCTCTGAGAAAAATATCGGAAATACCATCCAACCCACCCGGAAACTGTTTGTTTCACAGCCTTATATGGTTAAACGAACTCGACATCTCAACTACTGAGTTGCGAACGATTCTGCGCAATCCTAATTTATTACAAAAATGCAGAGAGCCGGAAAAAACAAAGGAAATTTTAAAGTCACAAACAATGTATGGGAACAGTGATTGTACTTTTCTGTTCTCTCAAGAATTTAAGAAAAATAATTGTGTACATCTTGCACTGACACATGGAAATTATATTTACACTCAATACATTGCTACGACCGATGGTGAATTTGGCCATTTACATCTAGAAGGCGTAGGTGAAAGTGCACATTATACGCCTCTTATACAAGTTTCCAGCACGATAAATACAGAACTTGAGTCAGGGGTAGAGAGCCCACAAAAAGACCGTAGCAGTAGTGAAGGAAGTGAGGAGCGTAAGCATGGGTCCAAACTAAGCAAGAGAGTAGACAGAGGCAAGCGAGGGAAGGAGAACGAAAGAAATTCATAAAAGAAGCAAGACACTTCCAAAAGTGCAGCGAATACAAGTAAGCATACGGAAAAACGGGGAGAGCAAGCAAGCAGCGACGATGTCAGCAATGAAAGTAGAGTAGAGGAAGAAGAAGAGCAAGTCAACGAGTTGAATGACGTGCTATGCAAAACAGACAGCGAGGACGAAGCTAACACAGTCATACACTCACCATCGATGGAAAAATATAGAGTGTGCACAACACGCCTACCAACGGCAACGCCACCATGGGCACCAAAAGAGGGGGAAGATCCACCCCTATTACAAAAAATCAACAGGATCGAGGGCCACCCATTTAAGTACTTAGACAATCTAGCGTTTATGACGATAACAGAGGCAGTACCCAATACCGAGGTCATAGATGCGCTGCTTGAGAGGGGATACATTAATTTAACACGCATAAATAACGAAGGAAGAAGCGTTGGAGAAACTAAAATAATAAATACAAGGAGAATAAGAATTATGCACATGTATGTAAAGCAATATTTTGAAGAAACGGCGCTTAAATTAAACATTAAAAAATGTATCAAGGCTTTTAAAGAGGTAGTAGTAGCAAACGAAATAAAAACGATTGGAATCGTTAGGGATCTAGCAATTCTCAATCTTACCCAGTAGGGATACTTTGTCGATACCTTTGAGGAAATATTCAAAGATATGAGACTAACAGCAGTACTCTTCACGAACACTCTGGTAATCCCAACAGCAGATCAACGATTTAAAATCATTAGAGAATACCACGAAGTGGCAATAGGTGGACATAGGGGAATGAATAAAACATATAGCAGAATCGCGA